ACGGCAGTGTTGTTCTGCAGCCCACACCCCTCCCCATTGTCTGTTCTGATTGTGCAATGCCCATGGACAGCAGTTGGTAAATACTTTGCATTTGACTTCCATTTGGGAGCTGTCCTTTGTGCAGAGCCAAAGGGACCACCTCATGCCAGTTGCTCCTCACACAGGTCCAGTTGGACAGTGACTAGTCATCAAGCCGCTGCTGCACACAACTCAACACTCAGGCTTGGTGACAACTGCTTGTTCTGCTGACTAGTCTGCCCCAGGGTCGCAAGGTCCCTGGGAAGTCACCAGCTTACACTGGTACATGGGGCTGGTGGATTTGTCTGTAGCCCAATCTTCCCATCAAATCAAAAGCCCAAGGCTCACTGCAGTGGTGGGCCCGGGTGCTGGATCTGTCTTTGCTGTCTCAGCCACCGCATGTCTCATCAGTGAACAGATAGCACCGCATTGTATCACATGACTTGAGACTCACCCTGCAGAGCCGGTGAGAGCAGCTCCCTCGGAAGAGTAAACAGTGAGGCTTCTCGGGCAGAACCCCTCCTGTGTGCGTGTCCTTTACTCATTTTGTTCTAAAAAGGCAACAAGTAAGCGGAATGGCAGAAGAAATAGTCTATGAAGATAAATGTGTGCACTCAGGATCCAGGTAGACCAGGGTTTCTGGAAATGGGTGAATTTCCTGTCTCAATTTTCTGGTCGATAGAACGTGAATGATGATAGAAATGGTATTTAACATGTACCATGTACCCAGCAGAATTTAAGCATGTAGATGGCAATCCTTGCTAAGAAATACAGCATAATTCCTTCTTCATCCTATAGATGGGGAAACTGAGGTACAGATGACTGGGCAACTTCTCTAAGGGCACATGGTAGAGCAAAATGGTAGAGCCAGGCCTTACACTAAGATGACATGGTGGCAGAAGCCAAACTTAACCTGTGTGCTTCTCTGGCTCTATGTGGGACTATGTAGGAATTGTAAGGAACATTCCTGGCTCAGGGACTAGAGCTGGGCTCCATTTCTACCTACTTGTTCTGTGTCTATCAGAAACAGGAAGCACTCCATTCAGAGCCCATCCTGTGTGCTCAGTACCGTACTCTAGGTTCTGTGTCCATCATCTCCTTTCCGTATCACAGCCTTAGTCCTGATGCAATCATGCAGGCAAGTGAACAGCACGATGATAAGTCTCCTCAACAATGAGCTACCCATTGAGGGAGGAGTCCAAGCAGAAGCAAGAAGGCTCTTGTCCAGCCTGTAGCAGACACTTAGACATTGAAGTGTTACACCATCTTCTGTCTCCACTAGGCTCTTCAGTACTTGCTGTAGGATCTGGACATAACCAAGACTCTGGGGTCTCAGGATAGCAGAAAGACAACCAGTTCAAATTGTCCCCTAAGCAAATTCCCGTGTTTTCCAGCACTCTCTCCTGAAAGGCATCAGAATCAAGAAAGGCAGAGTTCAGCCTAGGCTTTGCAATAAAAGTGCTGTGTGGTGTGGGGACCATTTAACCTGTGTGTGCCTTTTGTTCAAAGGAGTTCATGATAACCTGGCTTCACCGTCCCTGTGATAATGCATCTAAGTTGATATCAACTGCATCATGCTGAGAGTCGGGGGAATGTGTTCTTCAGGCCCCTGATGACATCTTTGATCTATGATGATCCCCAGAACTAAACTGTGGACAAGAGCAATCTCACCTAGAATCAGAGGCTAGGAGGAGGAGTGTCTGAAATGAGAGGAAAAGAGCCAAACCAGCAATAATTTACCTCAGATATCAGCCACGGAGAAGAAAGAATGGAGAACTTATCTTTGAGTTCCCTTGCCACTTAGGAAAAAGAAGAGCCGAGGGTACACGTGCTGTCCCCATTGGCTAACACTGAGTGCTTTTTGAGAGTAAGTAAACACAGATGACAAGCTATTAGCTAGGCACAGTGACATGGAGCATAGGCAGGCATGGCAATACAATGATGGACTGAGTGGGGTGTCCCTGACTGGGTCTGGGGAAGATTTCCTCACAGAAGGTTTACAGGGGCATGTTCCTCAAACCAACAACAGTCAGTGAGAATAGGAACCAGGACAAGGTGGAGGGAGTGGTAGGGGGTGTGGGGGGAGTTACAATGTAGTCACAGCTGTTCTTCAGTTGACCCCACTGCAAACATGGGGCCGGGATGCCACTTCAGCCCACATTGCATCTAGTGCAGTTCACCTTACTGCCTGTGCAGTGACAGCTACAGACTGCCCACAGGTGACCACTGTCTTGAGTTAAAGGCCGTTTGTAGAGAAGGACTCAATGGAGGATCCAACAGCAACCTTCTCCAGAGCTGGAGGAGTGAGCGTCTTAGTTCTCTTGTTCATAGCAGGCAGCTGCCATTCTTGCCTGCCAGGCCTCCGTAGACACCTCTGGTTAACACTGAGTTCTTTACTACTGTGTTTCAGTGAAGTCTCAGAACTCCCCCAAATGTGGTGCTTTGGATAAATGTTCTCAATCACTGGAATCCACTCTTGAGAAGGAACTTATTAGTTCCTTTTGCCCCCTCCATCTGTAGGGGACATTTATTGATGGTCTAATAATAAGTCTTCAGTGTTATGATTGAGCTGGCAAGATCGAACACTTGGCAGACCTCGGACAATTTCCCTGACATGTCTGCTGGAAAATGTGATTTTCTCGTATTTTTCCTTATTATGCTCCCTGACCACATTCCATTTAAGTACAGACCTATGTTCTTGCCTTGCTCAATGCACCTTCCCCCACCCCAAATTCATTTCTTTTCCCCTTTATTTGCTAGTCCACACTCCGTTTGCAGTTATGGTTAATCCCCAGTAAGGCTGACCATGCAATTAGCCCTGTAGCCTTCCTAACCATGGCAGGTTGTATCCATGTTAGTGGATGTGGATGACCTAGCGGAGCTCAGGGAGGTTACAGTGTTTTCTGAAGATCAGAAATCCTGTGAGAGATAAAAACCAGGCTTTATCTTGGCTCCATGGCTCCCTAAGTCTGTGCTCCTGTGTTCTCCCTTCTGTACTTTTGGTATATTTGCTAGGGTTAACTTGTGTGTGTGTGTGTGTGTGTG